CATGTGGAAAGGGTATCTAACTTGAACACCTCCTTCCAATCCCAACACTAAACAATAAGAAAGTTATTCCTAACTAGGCTTACACTACTCTAATAAACAATAACAGGGAGCGGGGGCGTAGCATCTTCTAAGTTACTTCCTGCTGAAATGGGACGATGGTAGCCTTGTGGGGTCCTGTGGGGGAAAAATGTTAGCACAGGGAAAGTCTCTATTGGGTTATCTCCAGTCCATGTTAGATGGGATTTGCTTGATTGAAGATCTAGATTGAAATCCTCAACTTGATTGAAGTCAGTACTCGAGGATCTGGTGGGAGTGTCAGTCGAAATGGAGTAAGTTGAATCCAGTGCAGTCGGAGAGGTATAGCCCAATTCCTTTTCCAGAGCATGAGGGGATTGTCGTCAGGTGGGTCTTCATTGGCTGTATGGGACTCCAACATAAGTGTCAGCAGAGAAATGTTTGCCTGCACATGTATGTGTACTGGGAAAGGAAACCACTGAAAAACGACAATTATGAGAGGGTGTAGGACTTGAAAGAAAGAGCCAAGAAAAGACAAAAGATAGTCCTCCAATTCTTCATTTATTCTGTATTACATCAATTGGCTTCTTGATATAACACAGAAACTTTAAAATTTTGTTAAATAACATGCTTGGATTTTGGGGAGGAAAGCCAAATCCAACTCTAAATCCAGCATCGATTTAATTGAATAGGGACTAGGAAATGAAGAAAAATAAAGTTTTGAGAGACAGCTGTAAATTTACCATATGGCACGTTCCTTTTGTTTGATGGTTATAGCTACTTTCTTTCCTTTAAGTATCTACCCATGTAGTGTCCTTTGACTTCTTGGGGTGGTGTTTCCTGTGAAGATAAAAACAAAGCACTTCCCATTCCTTTGGGAGGCTTTTATTTAGTTCATGAGATATACCTCAGTAAATACCTGTCTTTTTCAACTCAAATCTTGGTCAATTTTGATGGTATCCAAAGATTTTCTTCTCCTGTGGAAACAAATGCAAAACCCCCTGCCCCAACGTAACACATGTCTGGGTTTCCATGCCGAGGTCAGTACATCTTTGAAGTATACCGGCTGATTCAGTTTAGCAGTTTTTTTCCCCCATAGTCCAGTGTCTTTCCGAAGCTATTTGTCTTTTGTCATTGGCATTAAGAAAGTTTAGTGTCAATAAAGCATTATGCAACCTATGTTTGGGGGATTCGACTGACCAGCTTGCCTATGGAGCATCTCCTTAAGCGTCCTATTAGACCTCTCAACAACTGCTTGTCCTGTAGGATTGTGTGGTATACCTGTGACATGCTTTATGCTATAATATTTGAAGAACTGTTCCATTTTTGTGGAGACATATGCTGGAGCATTGTCAGTTTTTATCTGTGCAGGTATGCCCATAACCGACATCACCTCTAGTAGGTGTGTAATAACGGAATCAGCTTTTTCAGAGTTGAGAGCAGTAGCCCATTGGAAACCTGAGAATGTGTCAATGGTATGATGCACATATTTCAAATTTCCAAATTCTGTAAAGTGAAAGACGTCCATTTGCCAGATCTCATTCCT